GGTGGGGAGAAGCGAAACAGCCAAGCAACAGGACATCAGGATACATCTTTTGTCATGCCTGCCCATGGGCGATCCAGCCATGCTAGCGAGGGTTCTACGGGCGTCTCTCTGATCGGAGGGTGCGCAACAGCAGTGCTTCGCTCACCTTTAAATTTGATTGAGCTTCCTGAGTCTTGATGCGCACCTGGAGCCAAGAGGGGCCTCTCACCCTCGGGCACTGCATGGGGCATAGTCAGCCAGCGGGCTGCTCGTTTGTCCGATTTGTTCGTTCATTCGCCGATATATTTTCATTCCTTCTCGCATGCTCCGATGTCTACTCGTCTTCAACCTCACGTGGAAGTAGTTGCTTGGTGTCGCTGGTGAAGGATGCTCCTGCTTGTGACACTTCGCGTTGATAGCGCAAGTTCTTCAAACGCATCATGCTGAGGGTGTCGCTTCTAACAGCTGAAGTTCAGACCGGTCTTGTTGAAACCAGCTGGAGTGGCCGCAGTTCATGCAGCCGTACCCAGTCGACACGCCCTGGGCACGAAAGGAGAAGTCACAGTACCCAAATCAGTGCTCACACGAGTCGTCTGATCTGTCCGTATTGGACGACGTTGGCTTCTGCGATGCGAGGCCCTCCGCCGGCCAAGGTGCAACTCCTTGGAGGTTGTTCTGGATCGGCGCTGGCGTATCCCTGGCCGAAAACTGCCCGAATGTGGCTGGATCCAGGTTGATCTCGCTTGATCGGAGGTGAGGGGGTGAGATCGAAGTGGAACGGAGAGCCCCCCTACCGGGAAATCGGTTTCGGTTTCGTGTTCGTGCGTGCCGTGCGTGCGGGCGAGGCGAAGCTGCGTGTGCGGGCGAGAAATAAGTCCCCTGTAGCTGAGGCGCGGCCGGAACAAAAGTCTCCGTTCCGGCAACTGGTGCACCGCGGTGTCCCGCCGGTGTCCCGCTCGGGGGCCGGTGGCGCGCGGTGTCCCGCCGGTGTCCCGCCGGTGTCCCGTCGGTGTCCCGATGATGATGATGATGATGATGATGATGATGATGATGATGATGATGATGATGATGATGATGATGATGATGATGATGATGATGATGATGATGATGATGATGATGATGATGATGATGATGATGATGATGATGATGATGATGATGATGATGATGATGATGATGATGATGATGATGGTGGTGATGGTGGTGATGATGGTGTCCCGATGACGATGGTGTCCCGATGATGATGACGATGATGATGATGATGATGAAAATGATGATGATGATGATGTTGATGTTGACGATGTTGATGATGATGATGCTGGTGATGGTGGTGATGATGATGATGCTCCCCGATGATGATGGTGTTGATGATGATGATGTTGCTGATGATGATGGTGCCCCGATTATGATGATGATGTTTATCCTGATGATGATGATGATGATCATATGATTTGATGATGATGATGGTGTCCCGACGATGATGATGATTCTGATGCTGATGAGGTTGATGCTGATGCTCTTGATGATGATGATTACGGTGTCCCGATGATGATGATGTTGATGATGATAATGATGATGATAATGACGCTGATGGTGTCCCGATGACGATGATGATGATGTTGTTGATGAGGATGACGATGAGGTGATGATGATGTTGATGATTGTGACCCAATGATGGTGATGATGATGATGATGTTGATGATGATGATGGTGTCCCGATGATGTTGGTGATGATGATGGTGATGATGATGATGATGGTGGCGATGATGATGATGATGATGATGATGATGATGATGGTCTTCCGATGATGATGTTGATGATGACGATGTTGCTAATGATCATGATGATGGTTTCCCGGTGATCATGATGTTGATGGTGTTGCCATTCTCATGAGATGATGATGATAATGGTGATGATGATGATGACGATGTTGATGATGATGATGATGATGCTGATGATGATGATGATGGTGATGGTGATGATGATGCTAGTGGCGTTCCGATAGTGATGATGATGGTGTCCCGATGATGGTGATGCTGATGATGATGATGATGATGGTGACGATGATGGTGTCTCTGTGACGATGATGGTGATGATAATGATGATGTTGATGATGATGGTGATGAAGTGATGATGATGATGATGATGGTGCCCCGATGATGCTGATGATGATGGTGATGTTGATGACGTTGATGACGATGATGTTGATGATGATGATGGCGTTGATAGTGATATCGATTGTACAGTGACATCGATAGTTTGACCGACTGTGAGATCGATTGTGAGATCGATAGTGAGATCGATAGTGAGATCGATCATGAGATCGATTGTCAGATCGATTGTGAGATCGATTGAATGAAATATATCGAGTGAGATCGATTGTATGATCGATCGAGTGAGATCGATCGAGCGAGACCGATAGTGAGATCGATAGTGAGATCGATAGTGAGACCGATCGAGTGAGACGTTGGTTCCTCCCCCCGAACCTCCTTATCACCCGAAGGGTGGTCGTATAGGTATAGGAATGACGTATAGGTATGACTTATTTTGGCTGGACCCAAACGTTGTTTTTGAAGATTTCGTCGGCCGTTTTCGTTTCGACTTCGTTTTGCGGTAAAGGCGGATTCTAGATAAAAGCGAGTGACAACGAAAACAAAACGAAAACGAACAACATCGCTTAGGTTCAGCCCTGTCCGGGGCTTCATCTGCCCTGGTCTGGCTCCATTGCTTCTCCACGGGCCTGTAGTAGCATTCTATATCGCTCTGCCGAAGACCCCCCGAGGAGCTGCCTCCTCACACGGGCCTGCCCAGGATCTTTGGAAATCAGTTTCGGCTAATCGACCCCGATCCCCATCCCTATCTCGGAGGAGGAACATGTACCCATACCTCCACCCTGCCCCCGTCTTCCCTTTTCGGGCCTTCGGGGAGGCCCTCGTCGCCACCGCTGGATTCGCCTCGAAATCCTTGTCAGAACGCACCCGCGACGAGGTCCAGGGAGTAGCGGTATCGGTACCTTTTGGTTTCCCCACTATCCCCATCCCGAGCCCGACGATCTCAGCACCCCAGTTGGGGATATACCCTTCGAATCCAGAAGGAAACGGCCTGTTCAATCTCCGAGGCGGGAATTTATCCATATCCCCCGCCTGGAGGGTCAGTTTTCGGAGCATCGGCAGGCGGTGGATATGGACATATTCGGACCCCCCGGGGGCCGAAATATATCATATCCACGGCTCGCTGGGGCACTGGGACGTCGGTTCCCGGGCGGTGGGTATGGATAAATCCCCGCCTCGCACAATCGGCCAGTGGGGCCCAGGCCGCGCCCATGGGGAAAGGGTTCGACTAAACGATGGTCAAACACAGCACGGCGGTGCAGGATGAGGAGGCACCCCATGGCTGGAGCACGCCCGCCTCCCTGCCCCAGCCCCCGCCTCCGCTGCGGCCGCTGCCCGAGGACCCCCTCCCCCCCAGGTTCTGGTGGCGCCCCCGCCTTTCCCCCACCTGCCTCGAAGCTCAGGTGCCGGCAAGATGTTCATCAATACTTATACAACCACCCTTCGGGTGAGAAGGAGGCTCGGGGGGAGAGGAAACAACGTTTCTCTCAATCGATTTCACTATCGATCTTACTATCATTCTCGCCCACCCGCGCAGCTTCGCCTCGCCCGCACGCACGACATGAAGACGAAACCGAAACTGGGATTTCGGGTTCCCTCCCCCAAACACCCGAGGCGCAATTGGCATGGGTCAAACAAATGCCCCTATTGAGGCTAGATGTTTATCCATGTCTACTGCGCCTTGGCCAAGTCTTGCCCGTATCACGGGCAGGATTCTCGACGAAGCAACGATTGCATAGGCATATACTTTCGGAGGTCCGCGCAGATTTCTTGGATCGGTGATGGGCCCCCCTAGCGCGCTCCACGCGCCAGGGAGGGGGGTCCAGCGCCGATCCAAGAACTTAACGAGGACCTGCCACAGTTTATGTTAGTGTAATTGTTTGTTCATCCAGGGATAGGCTCAGGATGCATCGACCCCCAATCGCCCATTCATCACGAGATGGGCCAGATAGCTCACCCCGCCAAGGAGCGCGCGGGACCCCTATCGGGGGCCTGTCGCCGATCCATCGGCGACGCATCGCGCCGATTCCAGGTCGGTGTTTCCCCTCAGCCCGGTCCCCGCCTAACCAACGTTGCCCCTCACAGGCAGGCTCTCTCCCGCGCGCGCCGCGCGCGCGCCGCCGCGGGCGGCGGGGGTTGCAGCGACGCCATGGGCTGCGGCGGAGACGGGCTGCCCGGGGACCACTGCGCGCCAGGGGAGGGCGACGCCCTCCTGCAGTCTGCGCGGGGCCACGAGCACGAGGTCGGCGGCACCGCCCGTTGGGGTGCGCTTTGAGCTGGTATCTGTTGGAAGTTTCGACGCGTATTCGACGCGGATTGGGCCCGGAGTCGACGCGGATTCGACGCGGATTCGATGCGGATGCAACTCGAATTCGAGGCGGATTCGGCGTAGATTCGTCGCGGGTAGCGGTACCCGAAAGATGCCAGATAATTTGCTGTCAGCACAGACATGCGATGTCTTGTTTCTTGCTATGCGAGGGGCGGTTTTTCATCCCGAGTCGTTCTTTGACGGTCCCCGGGCCCAGCGAGGGCCTCTGGAGGCCGGAAACGGCCACCATTTCTACGACGCGAGCATGTTTGGGAGTGGAGCCCGCGCAAAGCCGCGTAAGCGCCCTCGTTTCCTTTGTTGCAGGCCGCGCTGGTGGCCTTCGTAAGCCACCGCGTGAGGTCGCTATGTTCTCGCGCGTGAGGCCCCTTTCTTTTCGTCGCTCACCTAGGGTCAGTGAAGTCCCCGCCAGGCTGCCGCGCAGGCGGCGGTGGCGGCGGCGGCGGCGGCGGCGATGACGACGACGAGGACGACGACGACGACGACGACGACGACGACGGAGCGGAGCGGAGCCCCCACCAGGCGGGCGCCGACGAGGGCCCCGCCACGCCGCCGCGGGCGCCCACCGCGCCCCGGGCCGCGGGGTGCCTCCGGCGCTGCGGGCCGCGCGGCGCGCTGGTGGCGGCGGCCGCCCTCGGCGCGGGGGCGCTGCTCCTGCGCACGGCCGGGGCAAAGCACCCGGGGGCGGGCGTGGGCGGCCGCGCGGCGGGGGGCGGCGCGGGGGCTCCCAATGTACACCGATGGTCCCTCGGACGTGTGCCAGCCCGAGCTCCGAGCGTGCGCTTGCCGCATCCAGATCCGCCCATAGCGCACAGCCTGCGTCGGCCATGGTTGCGCCGCCTGCGTCGTATTGAAGGGCCCCGGTGGGCAGGCACACGTTGGCGCTAGCACGCCTTCTGAGGATCATCGGGTATACACCACCTTGGATCTTTGGGCCTCTCAAATTGAGTCTGTCGGAAAATGGCGCCGCATCGCCGATGCATCTGCGATGCGGCTCGATGTAGGGACCGATTGTCTACACGCGGACGGGGCCGATGCATCGCCGACGTCGCCGGTACATCGCCAACGCGTCGGAGATGCATTGGCGATGCAGCGCGATCCTCCGACCCCATCTGCTCCAATTCGATTTTAGAGGCCTCTTACCTTGGAGCGGCCTGGGGGTTTGAGCTTGCCCAGCACTGGTTTCGGCCAACAGGAATGTGTTGCGAGGTACGAGGGTCTGGGTGCGAGAAGGTGTTGTTTATGTTTTTGGCCTCCAGGTACCGTCTCCGGTCCCCCGGACAGTCCAAGACGGAACCGGGGCGACAAATTGCGCCATGCAGATGGGCCCTGGCAGGGGTCTTGGGACCGATTTAGAGCGGATTTGGCCTCGTGCCCCCCACCTGATCGATTTTCTGGGGCCCCATCCAGTCCAGGCCCCTGGCCGCCTCCCAACACCGCGTCGTTTGGTCGGCCAGGGAGCCAATGCATTCGGCAAGGGAATCCCACAGAACGCAGCGGGGGTGTCTGTACTCCAGGCTGGTGTAGTGGGGGTAGCGCAGATGGGGAGACCAGAGTAATTAGGTGCAAACGTATTTGCAGTAGACGATGTTGCATGGGTACAAGCGTCTGCGGCCTGGACGCAATAGTTGCGCCAGCAGCAGTTCGCGCAAGAGCTCGCGCAACAGCTCGCGCAAGCGAGCTACTGCACCTCCCAGCGCCCCCCCACTTGCGTTTCCCCCATCGCTCCAGTCTGAGTATGAGACTATTTTGTTTTCGGGTCTGGCGATAACCCGGGGGTTATCGGGCTTGCCCCCCCTCCTCCCCACCAGGATGACCTAACCTTGCCAGTTGTGCAGGTCCGAGGTGGGGTGGCGCCGGCATATGCAGGGCTGCCCACAGCGAGGAGGTTAGGTTATCGGCCGGCCTCCTCCTCCCCCCCCCTCTAGATAACCCGGGTTAATCGCCGATTCAACAAAAGGTCTCTACATGCACCGAGCTCCTCGGCCGACCAGCTGACGTGGTGCACACATCCAGCCCCTCCCACAGGCGGGCGAGGAGCGAGCTCCCCGCTGCCCGCTCGGGACGAGCTGCTCCGGCTGCAGCAGCATCCGGGGGGCGCCGAGAGCAAACGCTGCCTACCCTAAGTCGGGCCTGTCACTCTACAGGAGGAATATTCAAAAATTATCAAAGAAATCAGGGGACGATTTTTACTTACTATTTAGTATCATTATGGCGTATTGTTAGGTTTTTTATTTTTCGCCCCAAATCTGCCTGTAGGGAGACATGCCCGACCTACCGCAAACGCTGCCAACCCTCAGATCCCGGCGTCGCCCTCTTTCCACAACGGGTGATTTTGCCTCGCCTCGGGCCCGGGGCCCTCGCACGCGGCTCGAAGAATGGCGCAGAAAGGTGGAGTCCATAAGCCTCTGGTCGTGATCTATTTGCGATGCTTCCATTTGTTCGCGCCGTCGGACGCTGGATCTCGGGATGCGCACCTGCTGCACCGTGCGGCCTCGGCCGCTGGCTGGGGGCCGGGCCTGGGTCCAGGGCCCGCGCGCACTCCCCAGACAGCGCTCGCGCCGTCGCGGAAGTCGCGACGACGGCGTTTGGCCGTTCTCGGCCTCCCGATCGCCAGGACCCGGGACCGTCCGAGACGCTTCCGGTTGAGCAGCTGGCCCTGCATGGGCAAGGGTCGGGGCGTCCAGGAGCTCTTATTGCGTATGTGGGACATAACGTCGAGACACGAGGCCACGTGTGCGTGGAGGGCGCCCGTCGCCAGGGTCCGCCTGGCGAGGCTCGGCGCCAGCGTGCGCAGTCGGCGCCCTCCAGCAGCAGCAGCTCGGGGGCGGCGGCTCCGCGGGCCACTTCCTGTGCGCAGCCCCGGGGCAGTGCGAGCCCGAGCTGCAGCAATGGCGGCAGCAGCCCTCGGCGCTGGCGGCCAGCGTGAGCGGCTCGCTCGACCAGGTTCGGATGTAACTCCTGGGAGGTCAGATTCGGATCTTGCCCTAAGTCCAAAGTCCAGCTTAATCTGGATTAATCCTGCTTGATCCGGCTTCACCCCACTTAATCCCGGTTAGTCTAAGGCCCATTCCAGCGTAACAGCCCCCCAATGGGGCTTAATCATCCTTACTCCTTCCGACGGAGACCTCCCAGTAGTTGCCTCCTAAACCAGGTGCCTGGCGTTGCCGCCCAGGCGTGGACTCCGGTCGCGCAGGCTTGGCAGGCTGCGCCGCCCGCGTTCCAAGGCCGGCCGGTGGGGCTCGGCGACGTCGCCGGCTTCATGCGGGAGGTGCTCTCGTCGGACCCCTTCGGCACCGGGCAGGGCCAGCCGTACGTTCGCTTCAGCAAGCCGGGGCCGAAGTCGGAGCCGAAGGTTCGGAGAACAGATAGTTGCGTAAACGCGCATAACCTTTCGGAGTTCCGCGCGGATTTCTCGGATCGGCGCGGGAGCCCCCAGGCGGCGCCTCCGGCGCCGCCCCAAAGCGGTGGTTCCAAGCGCCGATCCGAGATCCCTACGGCGAATCACCGCCGCCCCCTGCCTTGTGGATTCGCCCATGTGGCCGAGCGTTGTCGCAAGAGCTCTGCCAAGCTATCGGACCAGGTGTTCCCCCAGCCGTTGTGGCAACCCCTCGGGAACTACTTGGGGGAGGATGGCAGGGAAGATCAAGAGCAGGAGGACGAGGAGGAGGAGGAGGAGGCATCTTGGGAGCCTCTGGGGGCTCTTTTGGGTCCTCCTGGGAGCTTCCTTGGGGCCTCTTGGAGGCATCTTGAGGACCTCCTTGGGCCTCTTGGGAGCCTTTGGAGGCTTCTCTGGGGCCTCTTTGGCCATCTCAGGGCAGTCCTGGCCCGTTTGACTCCGTCGGGAGCCGTCTGGGGGGGGCCTCTTTGGGCCGATTGGGGGTCCTCTTGGGTGCTCCAGGGCCGTCTTGGAGGCCATCTTGGTTTTCTTGGAGGCCTCTTGGGCCATCTTGGGGTTCCTTGTGGCCGTCTTGGGGGCCTCTTCGGCAATTCTGGTGCCATCTTGAAGGCCTCTTGGCCGATCTTGGGGCTATCTTCGAGGGCGTGAGCCGTCTCGGGCCGTCGGAAGGCCGAAGAGAAGTACATGCCAAATTGTTCAAGACCTAACTCATGGATTCTGGCCTCTGAGGACCTTCCTGGAGGTCCTCTTGGAGGCCTCTTGGGCCGTCTTGGAGACCTCGTCGGGACCTCTTGAACCGTCTTGGGCCATCTTTGAATTATCTTGGGCGTTTGGGTGGCCTCCTGGCCCGCCTGACGCCGTCGGGAGCCGTTTGGGAGGACGCTCTGGGCCGTCTTGGGAACCTCTTGGGGTGCTCCAAGGCAGTCTTAGAGGAGGCCATCTTGGGCGTCTTGGAGGCCTCTTGGGGCGCTTTTGGGGCCCTCTTGGGGCCGTCTTGAGGGCCTCTTCGGCAGTTCTGGTCGTGCCATCTTGGGGGCCTCTTGGGAGATCTTGGGGCGTTCTTTGGGGCTCTTGGGTCGTCGGAAGGCCAAAAAGAAGCAGATGCTACATTCCTTCAAAACCTAAGGAAAATCAATGATTTGGCCGTCTTCGGGCCTTCTGGAGGGCCTCTTGGATGCCTCTCGGGCCGTCTTGAGCTATCTTAAAACCATCTTGGGCCGTCTTGAGCCATCTTAAAGTCATCTTGGGCCGTCCCGGAAGCTTCTTGGGCACATTTGGAGGCATTTTGAACCCTCTCGGGCCGTCTTGGAGACCATCTCGGACCATCGTGGGCGAACTTGGAGGCTACCTTCGGCGTTTTGGCGGCCATCTTGAGCCAACGTGACCATCTCAGAAGGCACCTTCATGCTCGTTTGGGGGCCTTCCGCGTGGCCAGCGCACTGGGTTGGAGCCCCAGGGGAGAGTTCGTTTGGACCAAAAATCACAACCAAACCAATAAGATCTAGCACGCCGCCTGGCACTCCTGTGGCAAGACCACAGAGGGCGGCGGATCGAATGGCCTTCGGCGCATCCCGCCACCGTGCTTGGATCGTGGGGATGGGCCTCTTGGGGGTCTCTCGGGGGCCTCGTGGGTCCTCCTGGGCGCCTCTTGAGGCCTCCTGGGGGCCTCTTGTGGCGGAAGGGTCGGATTTGTCGGTTCGTGTCTCCTCGTTTGGGCTCCTTTTGCGGCCGTCTTGTGGCCCTCTTGGGCCGTTTTGGGCGCCTCTTGGGCAGTCTCGGGGCCCTCTTGGTTCGTTTGGGGCCACCCCTGGAGGCCTCCTGGGGCGGTCTTGGAGGCCTCTGGGCCGTCTGGGAGCGGCGGGAAGCCGAAAAGGCGAGAACGACAAAATCCTTCAAAAACCTTTTGGGGCCCTCTTGATTTTGGCCTCTTGGGGCCCTCTTGGGAGGCCTCTATTGGTGGTATTTTTGGAGGCCTCTTGGGCCGTCTGAGGGCCATCTTGAGCGTCTTGGAGCGATCGTTCGGCGACTCAAGGCCTCCTTGGACCGTCTTGGGGGCTTCTTGGGGCCCTCTTGGCCCGTCTCGGGGCCCTCTTGGGTCCGAAACAGTCGGGCGACAAGACTCGCGGGAACCTCGGGCCGACGCAGGCCGCCGCGCAGGAGTTGGCCCGAGAGGCTCCGAACCCTTTGAGAATACCTCGGGAGTGACGACTGAGGCTCAGGGGTAGTGCAAGGACCTGAGGACACGCCCGCTCCGTGCCCAGCGGCACGGCGACTGGTGCGTATACCATTGTTCGTTCCCCGAAAGGTGGTGGCGGTCACGCAGCGCCAGCTCGCGTTTCTGGTCGCCAACGTGCTCATGGGCAACGACATCTCCTCGGGGAACGGCCTGACCACCACGCTCTCCCGCTGTGCGAGCAAGGGCGCGACGGGCTACCTGTACTCGCTGCTCTCCCTGCTCGCCGTGCTCTCGCAGGAGCTGTCCGGGGGGCAGCAGGGGAAGATGCTCGTGGGCGCCACGCCCAGGGACAAGGACGACAGCTGGAAGCTGCGGCTGGAGAACTACCTGAGCGCCCCCGAGACGTGTGTGTCCCAGGGCGAGGGCTCGAGCTGCCCAGACTTCATGGCCGGTGGCACCCAAGGCCAGGCCCTGACGGACATCGCCGGCGACGTGGTCGGTGGCGGTGGCGGCCTGTGCGACCTCGCGAACAGCCAGGACGAGTCTCTGATGATCTTCTACCCTGAGGTCCTCGCGTACGTGTTCTTCGCTGGGCCCGGAGACTTCGTGCCTGTGCCCTGGACGCTGCTGGGCGCGCGGCGCTACCTCAACGACCTGGTCGGGAACTCCGAGCGGAAGCCAGGGCCGACCGAGAACAAGTGCGGGTGGGTCCGCGAGCAGGATGTGATGACGCCCGAAGATATATCGATACCGCTGCCCACCGTACTATGGTAGCAAATCGTAGGAGCGTTGTATGTCCTCGATATTCCGCCGTCAGAGTGCAATCGCGTGCGCTACCGTCTGGACATCGAAGAGAAGACGCAGATCTAGCGTCGATTAACGTCGCCTTAGTACCTCTCCGGGGTGCGTCCGGGCCAGAACGTCGATGCGAATCTAGCCGTGGCGACGAGGGTCTTCCAAGAGGCCCACAGCGGCGAAAACGAGGCAAGGGCACTTCTGTACAATCGGTGTACTGTCGCCTCCTCCTCAGGACTGGCTCAACCAGGGGATCCCGTCGGCGGAGGTGCAGGTGCCCCTCAACGGCGGCACGGTGAGCGTCCCCGCGAGCGCCTTCGTGGCCGTGGCCTCGAAGTCTTCGCAGGCGGTGGGCGGGTGCCCCCTGCAGCAGGCCGTGAACAACAACTGCGACTCGCAGCGCCACCACGTGGACGAGGACCTGGCGCTGTGGTACCAGGCGTTCGAGCCCTCCATTCGGAGGAGGGCCAGGCGAGACAGCGGCGGGGCTCCCTGAGCTTTTTTCGGCCCTGCGGCGCCTCCCCTTGAGGTTTCCCGTCCCCGCGGCTGAATCCGCTGATGGGCTTGTTTTCCACCACCACCACCACCACAGGTTGGAGGGGAAGGGGGTCCTCCTCCTCCTGCTGCTCCTCCTCCTCCTCCTCTTCGTCGTCCTCCTCCTCCTCCTCCTCGTCCTCCACCTCCTCCCCTCCTCCAACTTATGGTGGTGGTGGTGGAAAATCAGCCCATCATCCGCGTCAAAAAGCGGACCAGGACGGACCTGGGAGGGGTCGGGGGCATGATTTTGGGTCGGACGGGAGGGCCGCGGTTGTCTCAATGGGCCCGCCTCCGATCCATGTACCCAGAGGAGGTCCAGGACGCCTTCTCCAGTGCCATCTCGCGTGTGGGCACCGGGCCCTGGGGCGCGGGGGTCTGGTACGGCGACAGCCAGCAGTATTTCCTCGCGGTCTGGCTGGCTACTGCGCTCCTCGGTGGGGTAGGCTTGGACTACTACGTGTACGACCACTTTTGCGAGAACCCTGGCAATCAGTGCTTCGTGCTCGGCGCCGCCGGCTGCGCGGCGTGCATCGCGAGCTCTGGGGTGCAGAACGTCAACGCCGACCGCTGTGGCAGCGCCAGCATGCAGGACATGATCTCGAAGTTCACCGGCAAGACGGCCAAGGAGCTGTACCTTGGCCTTGCCAGTGTGGGCGGGCCGCCTTCCCAGGTGGGTAACGCAGAATACGTAAGGGGTTCGACTACGCGGGCACTCGCGCGTAAGCTGTTTACGTAAGACGGCTCGTGAGCGCCCTCGCTTCCAATGTAGCGTTCTGCGCTTGCGGCCCGCGTAAGCCGCGGCGTGAGGTCGCCATGTCTGCTTGCGTAAGACCCGTTTCTCTTCATCGCTCAGGTGTTCGACTTGCTGGCGCCGTGGCAGCCCACTGCCGCCGAGATGGCCGCGCCCGTCCCGGGCGAGGCGGAGGCTGCCGCGCAGGCTGCCGCGCAGGCGTCGCCGCCGTCGCTGCCGCCGCAGGCGCAGCCGACGCCGGCGCCGCTGTCGCCAACCGCGGCGCCGGCGCCGACCCCGCCCGGCGGCCAGGGCACGGCCGACGGAGCGTCGCAGGGGGCGGGCAGCCTGCTGCCCCCAACGGGCCTGACGCCGCCACCGCCGATTCCGACGCTCGAGCCCGTGGTGGCGGAGCCTCTCGGGAGGTGTTTGCCCTTCCCCTTGTTCGGCAAGGCGATTTGCTTCAAGATGCCCCGGTGAGCAGAGGGCTGTTTTGTGTCGTAGGAGCAGCAAGGAGCAGCGACACCACCGCCAGCGCGACGACCCAGGGGGGTTCTCCTGGCCGGTGCTCTTGAGATCGGTCGTTTATATCGGTCGAGCGAAAGGCGTCCTCCGATGATCCCGAGTTCGAGAATTCCAAGGACGGAAGTATGTTTTGGTCTCTGCTGGATGCCTTCAGGGCCGAGCCAAGCCAAGTCAAGCCCTAACTCGAGGAGGCCTCGTGGGCCCCCGCGCTGGAGGTCGCACCCCTGGTGGTGGTGGTGGTGGTGCCGCTTTTCTTTCCTCCGATGTGGGGGGCGGCCCGGCGCGTCGAGGCCGTGGTGTGGCAGCCCCCAAGGAGGCGCCAGCCCTTCACACTCTGTTTGGGGCAGGGCGCTCCGTTTCAGCATGCCCCAGTGCGCAGGATGAGGCGATGAGGCTGGCCGATGTCACCTCACCGACCCTGCGTTATTCTTCAGCGCGCGCCGCGTAGACCATGCAGCGACGCGCTCGTCAGCCTCATGCAGATCCCAAAACAACCTTCAAGTCATCCTCCCGTATCCGTTGAAGCGACAGAGCAGATTCTCCCCAGCCCTAATCTCGCAGTCGATGATGCCTACTATTACGTTCAGATTGCGGGGGGGAGTGATGGAGCGCAACACCCTAACGAAATTGGAGTATGCGCAGGGTGATGGTCACCTCGCAGTAGCAGGCCCAGCCCTTCTCGATGGAAGACGTCGAGGCTCGTGCAACACCTCTTCAGGTCCCGCCTTGAGGATACCAACGCCCACGATGTTGAAAAAACAATTTTGCGACGCCAGCGGGATGCGTCAGGTGTCGATGGGCCTTGGCGAAACTTCTAGACAAGCCAGGTCTCTCGGCGGCGCTCCGCGGGGGAAGTGATGGGGGCAGGCCTTCTCAGAAGGCAGCCTGGCTTCGGCCAAGGCTTAAGTCGGGCATGTCCTTCTACAGGATGAATATTGAAACATCCTGGAAGCATGGTCATGTGGCGATTTTTCCTGCTATGTTCAAAATACACCAAAAGTAGAGTGTGGACATAGTTTCTTGATACTGGCTAGGCGAATGTAAGATGCACCCGGTTGGAAAACCCGATGCGCCGCGCGGCGCCATCACTATTTGTTTCGCCGCATTTGGTCGCGGCAGCGCGCGCTTTCGACGTCTTAGCCAAGGCGCGCGTCGATAGCGATTCGGTTTGTGCAGCGTGCACATTGAGGGTGGACCGCGCGCTGCCATCGTGGACCAGGTGGCGCGCTGCTGCGATTTAATTTGCGCGCGGTGCGAGCAACTCGACGAGTACCCTTTGGGCAGCCGACAGCGGCTCTGCAGATTTGGATCCCTGCTCTTTACTCATTTTGTGACGCGCGTCCGCCAAATCCGCCCGATCAGTCTTTCCGGCCGCTGGCATTCAAGTTTCGCTGCAAAGCCACAGTCTTCTCCCCTCCTTACCCCGTCGCTCCTGCGCGCCATCCTTGTGCATCCTCCCCATCCTACTGCCTCTCAATAAGGGTGGCGCGTATAGGCCGGCGCTGCTCACGTTCGGCCACTGGGTCTCGTTCGGGAATCGCGCGGGGTATAATGCTCGAGAAGCAGTCCTGCCCCGACAAGGCATACACCCATTCATGCCATCATCGAGTATATATGACTGGAGTAGGAGTTGAGTTGGAGCACGGTAGGAGTGGATTGGGGGTTGTCCGTGAATCAGGTTGACTGCAATAGGGCGCAGGATAAGATGAGGGCCGGTTCCGAATGCGGCAGAACCGGAGTCGGCGTAGAAATGTCATGTCGAAAACCACCCTTTCTTCCATAAGGTAAAAGAGGAGCCTTGCGTGTGCCGTTGTAGTGGGGTAGAGTAAATAGGGGTCAATCAGGCGTGCGATGGGGCAAAGTACGATTAGGGCTACGCGTGCACTTTTGCACTTAAATGTACAAGCGCAGCGAAGTTCATCTTATCCATTGGGTCGGCAAGGTGGTCGCGCGGATCGCGCGGGGCCGAGTGCAGGGCGCGTTCGACCAGGGCGGACCAATACGCCAATTTGCATATTTGTGCGCGTCTATATACATATACTCATGCGCAGAGATCGGCGCCCAGTGCGTGCGCAGTAAAGCAGGACCGGGAGTCTGCGGCGCGCCCCAGTCATCGACGGCGCCTTCGGCGCATCCAGAGCGACGGCAGGCATCGTCGCCGGCGCAGCAGTAGCGCCTCGGACACCCGTGTCCGACATGCCCCGTTGTTATTAGAGTACCCCAGCGAGGGATGTTGCGCGCTCGCCGATCACGCAAAGGCTCCACTGGAGGATTTCGCGCGCAACGCGCGCGCAACGTGCTCCAACAATGCACCCCGCAGATTTCAAACGCTCACAAAATTCCCACCCCTAGATTTCCAACCTTTACAACAATTTCAAAAACACACAGGCAGATTCTACGTGCTCAAAGAATACGCCAAACGTATTCCAAAGTTACCCAAACTTTTTACACAGAGATTTTTGTGCCATTTGTGAAATTTCAAAATACTCCAAGGATGCGCCGGTGCCATCTGCGAACCTTCCAAACACTCCGCATATGTTCCAGTACCATGCGCGCAGTCTCAGAATATTTGAAGGATAAGCCAGTGTCATGTGCGAATTTTTGAAATACCCAAAGCACCAGCTCGCGACTTTGGTAATACTCCAAAGAGATTCCCTTGCCATTTGCGAAGGTTCGAAATACTCCAGAGATGCCCCCGCGGGGACCTCTGCGATGTCAGAATACCGCAGGAGACGCTCACCGACCTTTTGCGAGACCTGAAAACACCCCATAACGCAGCGAGTTGCCGTCTTCGTCAGGTCTTTTTAAGTTTTTGAGAAGATGCCCCATCGTTTTTTTTTTTTTTTTTTTTTTTTTTTTTGTTTTTTTTTTTTTCAGACAGCGCTATCTTGAGGTGGGCCCCGTGGCCTTTCCCCGAGAACGCGAAAATCTCGTGGCAATGCCCCGCCCCCCGCCCCCTTCGTTTTAAATCGCGCCGCAGCGGCATAGAATGCTGTGGGCTCGCTAGCGGTCCAGATGCCCTGCGTCAGGGTTGCCAAACGTTCGAGGCGCACTGCTGATGCGGTGCCTTCGTGGGCTGGACACCGTGCCGCTATGTTGCCGAGCGCGTGTCGTTCCGCTCCGCAGAAGCGTCGCGGCCTCATTCTGCGCGCCCGAGCCCGCTGGGGAACTAACTCTCAGAGCGCGCGCGCATCGAACATATGATGCGTTCTACGGGCGTTGCGCAGTTTCCAGACAGATGAAGGTACATTGCGCCCATTTTTGGATCCAGTTTTCCCGCGCCCCCGCCTTCGATTTTATGGGCGATAATTGCAAATTGGGACGGGGGGAGGATGGGGACCTGGGGGAGGGGGACCGGTCGATGGGTCGATCGGAAGATTGATCGACCGACCGGCCGATAAAAAGACGAGTTTGTGGCGTTCCGCCAGCCCCCGCGGACCCTTCTGTTTATTTTGCGGTGCTTGCCGTTTGCCATTTGCACGCGTTGCGATCAGCGGTTGCCTCTGGATCGTCTACACGTTTGGATTGGTTGTTGTTTGGTGGCTCCCCTCGCGTGCCCACAAAGCGCATTATGCGCCTGTCGCTTGTCACGAAGGTGACCCCAGTGGCAACGGGCCGCGTGGAGCCGGCTGAGCGCGCAGCAGGATCGCTTTGCTCTGGGTCGAACGTGAAGCCACTGAATGTGCATCGAGTTTTTCTTGTTGCGACATAAATGCGATCGTAGCTTACGCGGAAAACCATTTTTTGCTTGGTGCGCAGGGCGTTGCGTATTTTACTCGCCGAAACGCGAAGGGGAACATCACGAAAACAAGGCAATGTTCAAGCAGGGTTTGTGGCGTTTTGTGAAGTATGTTTGCGGTATCCCCCGAATATTTTTCAACGCGCTTGTATAGTCAACGAACAACATGTTTTGATTCATATACATATATATATAATCATATAATTGTATATGTATATATATACACATCGGCCAGCCATCGCCTGTAGGAGGACATGCCCGAAATGAGCCAAGGCTTTGAGCGTTTCTTAATCGGTCGGAGGCCTTTTTGCCCCCTTCTGCCTTCCCAGACCAGCGACGTTCTTTCCCCAACCAGCATCCTGTGGTGTTGGGTCTTCGTTTTGAAGAGACAGCGCCCTGCGTTTCCTTCCCCTCCTCTCCTTTCTTCTCCTCGTCCTCCCCCTCCCCCCTCCCCCTCCTTGCCCCTGCCCACCATTTCGGCATACCCAATACAGCGTTTCGTCGCCCCGTGGGAAACTCCACCGGGGGCCCCGACGGCAGGGTTCGCATGCAGTTACACCCTCATGCCCGAGCACCCCTCACACGGCTTGTGGCCCCATAGGGAGCTCCACCGAAAGCCCCAGTGGCAGGCTTCGCATGCAGTTCCAACCTTCATTTCGGCACACCCCTCACACGGTTCGTGGCCCCATCGCCCATAGCGAGCTCCACCGAAGGCCCCTGAGACAGGTTTCGCAAACAGTTCCACCTTCATTTCGGCGCAACCTTCACACGGTTCGTGGCCCAATAGGGAGCTCAACCGAAGGCCCCAGTGGCAGGGTTCGCATGCAGTTGCACCCTCATGTCTGCGCACCCCTCACACGGCTTGTGGCCCCATAGGGAGCTCCACCGAAAGCACCAGTGGCAGGCTTCGCATGCAGTTCCAACCTTCATTACGGCGCACCCCTCACACGGTTCGTGGCCCCATAGCGAGCTCCACCGAAGGCCCTTGAGACAGGTTTCGCAAACACTTCCACCTTCATTTCGGCGCAACCTTCACACGGTTCGTGGCCCAATAGGGAGCTCAACCGAAGGCCCCAGTGGCAGGGTTCGCATGCAGTTACACCCTCATGTCTGCGCACCCCTCACACGGCTTGTGGCCCCATAGGGAGCTCCACCGAAAGCACCAGTGGCAGGCTTCGCATGCAGTTCCAACCTTCATTTCGGCACACCCCTCACACGGTTCGTGGCCCCATAGCGAGCTCCACCGAAGGCCCCTGAGACAGGTTTCGCAAACAGTTCCACCTTCATTTCGGCGCAACCTTCACACGGTTCGTGGCCCAATAGGGAGCTCAACCGAAGGCCCCAGTGGCAGGGTTCGCATGCAGTTACACCCTCATGTCTGCGCACCCCTCACACGGCTTGTGGCCCCATAGGGAGCTCCACCGAAAGCACCAGTGGCAGGCTTCGCATGCAGTTCCAACCTTCATTTCGGCGCACCCCTCACACGGTTCGTGGCCCCATAGCGAGCTCCACCGTAGGCCCCTGAGACAGGTTTCGCAAACCGTTCCACCTTCATTTCGGCGCAACCTTCACACGGTAATAGGGAGCTCCACCGAAAGCCCCAGCGGCAGGGTTCGCATGCAGTTCCGCCCATATTTCGGTGCCGTTCTCACACGGTTCGTGGCCCCATGGGGAGCTCCACCAGAGGCCCCGATGGCAGGGTTCGCATGCAGTTCCCTTTCTATTTCGGTGCCGTTCTCACACGGTTCGTGGCCCCATAGGGAGCTCCATCGAAGGCCACAATGGCACGGCTCGCATACAGTTCCACCCTCCTCTCGGCGCACCTCTCACACGGTTCGTGGCCCCATGGGGAGCTCCACCGAAGGCCCCAGTGGCAGGCTTCGCATGCAGTTCCAACCTTCATTTCGGCGCACCCCTCACACGGTGTGTTGCCCCATAGGGAGTTCCACCGAATGCCTCAGCGGCAGGGTTCGCATGCAGTTCTGACCTTCATCCCGGCGCACCTCT